TTATTGTTAATATTGCACATTGTACCAGACAACAGGGGAAACTGTGGTTGGGGGACTCGGGCTGTTAAACGAAGACTGTAAAAATGTAAGAATGTACCAGTCTGCAGCAAGAGCTTCTTGCATGACAAGAGTCAAGGGACAGCCCAGCACAGGGCTAAGGAACACGGCAGATCCGTGACTTCCACATGATGCCTGGGCCACAATCTTGCCTACTGACTCTCTAAACTACCTTTGTACACCGAATTCACAGCTCCCTGCTTCACCATCTGCAGGATTCACTTGTCAGTTTTCAGAGAGGTGGGCCGCCCCCGACAGTTCCACCAGGTCAGCAGCAGCAGCCGCGGCAGCTTTGTTCCACACAGCCAGCCTGTGCAACGAGGAGTGTGATCTATATAATGTTGCTCTGATTTTATAAAATTAGTGGAAATGAAAAAAAAATGAATGTGCTGTTACCCATTAAAAGTGTAAGCCTCATAAAATTTAATAGAAATGAAGATGGAAATCCTTAGGAATCAATTGTCATCTCAGTGGGATGCCCACAGGGACCCGAGCTCTTGGACTGAGGGTCCTGCTGTGAAGGAAATTAAAGGAATCATTGAAAGGGGTCTACTAGGAAGACCATGCAGAGTGAGCATTTACTGAGTGCTTACTGTGTACCAGCGCTTTACATCCATAACCTCATTTGATCGGAGGATGAAAGCATCGGCTGATTGGGTAAGTGCCATGCTTATCCACTTGAGAGGTTAGAAAGTTGTTTAGACTCAGAAGGGTTAAAAGGCTAAGGAGCTTAAGGAATCAGAACCAATAAGTGGCAGAGCCAGAATTCAAGCCCAAGCAGCCTGACTCCTCCCCATGTCCCTGGTTGCCACCATCACCTCCCATTATCACCATCTTGACATCATCTCCCTATCTCTCCCTGCACTCCTTTTATCTTGTTCAGACTGGCCTCTGGGACATACCAGATGCCCTTCTGCCTTGGGGCCTTGGAACTTTCTTTCCTTTTAAAACACTTCTCTCCTAGATACTTCTCATTCCTTCACTCCCTTTGAATCCACAAATGCCTCGGTGTAGCACATGGTCACATCTACAGTGGCTGGATGCTCTGTCCATGTGTCCCAGGAAGGCCTGGCCAGGACAGGGGAGACAGCCTGGGACTGGGTGTGGAGAAACCTCTGAGTCCCTCTAGGCTGGGGTCAGCTGCCCTGTGGAGGCCGGGAAACCAACGCCTGGGGTGCTTTCGGCACCCCCCAGCCACGTGTGGAATTAGGTGGTACAGTAGTTTTAGTTGCATGCCATGCAGTCTTCCCATTCACTGTGGCTGAACATCCAGTGGGTACTCCTAAAAGTTGTATCATGGCCTGTGCAGCGCCATGTGGAGCACAGTGGATGGCTCCATCCTTCACAGGATGACCTTGAGGCTGGAGGGTAAAAGCAAGAAACTTCCAGCCCCTCAGAATAGTCGTCTCCCCAGGGTCCCATTTCCCGGAGCCCTCAGTACAAGGGCCGCATCCTCATGGCATGATGAGAAGACTGACTTCAAGAAACTGAAGAAATCACACAGAACACAACAGCACCTCTTGGCGCCCTCAGGACCTGGGAACCCTGGTACTCAGCTCTACGGCTGGTAAGGGCTCATGGTGCCTTTGACTCTAACCTCTTTCAGGTGATTTACAGATCTTGGATGTCTCCTCTGCAGGTTCAGGATTCAGACAGCCCAGTGAGAAAGGCAGTACTGTTTCCAGATGAGGAAACTGAGGCTCAGATCACTGGCTGTCTCAGCTTCATCCCACACTAGTGCTTCTCTGAGCCCGGACTTTTGGCTCCAAGAATAGTGCTCCCTCCAACACACTGGGACATCACACAATCTGTGAGGAACATGTAGTCAGCGGGTGCTTACTGTCAGACTGTGGCTGCAGAATTCAGAGAACCCCATGCTGAATGAATTAGCACTTCAAATTGGTTGGAGATGCATTCCCAGAACGCCTCTCAGTGTATGTCACAATGCCTCCCAACTAGTGCTTCTTCAAGATGTGGCTAAACACCTCCAACAAAATTCTTTGATAGAAAAGGCAAGAGCCATTCTTTCCATAGGTCAGAATTTATTTCGTACCATCTCATTTATAGCATTTTCAAGTACAACATTCTGCTCAACATCATCTACACTTGAAAACAGAAAAGCACAACTTGGTAAGGCACCAGGTTACGATAGTCTGGAGAGAAAGCCTTGCTCCCATTTTGGCTTGTGTAATACCTGGGTAGTTTCTCTTGAGTCTGTCAAGCAGAGAACAAGGTTATAAAAGGTCCATTTATACATACATGGTAACAAGAGAAAACAAACAGTTTTGAAGTATGCTGTATTTTTAAATTATAACAGTGGCCTACACTTGTAGTTCAGCCAAAGTGGCATTCTCTAAAGCAAAATTTTTATAAAATCTTCTCTGCAATACCAAGCTGCAAGTTTAACAATTTTTTAGCTTTGAAGCAAACCAACTTTATATTTAACTCAAGCACATACTTTAAAAACATTTTCGGCCCCAAACTATGTTCACAAAGAAATAAAAATGGAGGAAAATCTCAAGTATAATCGTACCTTTACTATTCTATAAAATGCAGCAATATATTTTAAAAAATGTTGCATGTAAAGGTCAACCCACTAGATTTTTAACACTAACAGTCCAAGGTGTTATCAACCCCAGTTAAAATTCAACTGTTTGCATAAAGCTTTCAGAACTGGGCCACACAGGTGTGCTTCACTAAGCACTTTCCACCTGTGGCCTAAAGGCAGGAGGTACGGAAGGCCCCTCCAGGGAGACCAACTGCAGCCCCATATACTGTCACATGCATAAAACTTCTTTCAAGTGTTGTGTTCTATCTTAAAAATGAATTTGCACTATACTCCATGCTATTTACTTTAATATAAAAATAGTGTTTCAAATCGCTTACCAGTTAAATAACTCATCTTCCCTCCCACACCTCTGGACACCAGACAGGCAGCGCCCAGCCTGGGAAGCCTAGCTTTCCACAGATAGGTAAGTCGGGCACGGCAAGATAAGACTGTATACGATTAGGTCTATTTTAAGCTTTTCCACAAATCATTTTATTCCTTCAGATTGTAACTAAATGCTCCAGGAAACTATGACCGACATCAATTCCAATGTGTTGAATAATCAATAGTTAACAGTCTATGTATTTTAGTGGTTTAAAGATTAATCTTTTGTTAAACAAAGAAATTTGTTGATTTTATTTACTAACAGGAATAAATAGAACCCCTAACCTAAAGTATAACCTGAACTTTTACTTTTTCTATAGAAAAACACAAACTGGATTTCTTTTTAATATAAAAAAGACAACGCAAAACCCACAGAAAAATAAAACTCTTCTATCTAACTGGCTTTACAGATTTCCCTCGTTAGTTGTGGAAGTGACTTTGGTGGCTCTGGTTCACCCACCGCAAGCCCGACACTGTTAACTCAGAGTGTTTAGGCTGCCTTGTGGTGTCTTGGAAGCATTCCTACCAGAGTAAAAACTACTCTCCTGAGATGGCACATTTTCTCCAGAAGATTCAGCCCTAAAAGCTGCCACCTTGAAGGATGTATTTCACTGTCACAGGAAGCAGCCAAGCATGGGGGCCAGGGTCCCGACATGCACCTGGCTGGCCCCACGCCCCGCCCCTCAGGAGTCCTCAGAGTCCACTGGTGTCTGCTGCTACTGCCCTGAAAGTCATCTGTGGCTTTAACTGGTGGTTTTGACAGGTTTCAAGAGATGTTCATTTTATTTTTTGTTTAGTTTTAAGATGTCCTCAAAACTGTATATATTAAGATACACTTAAAAACATACTCTGAATATAATAAAAAAGATGTTGGTTCAAAAAAGTGTCAACAAGAAGAGGAAGCCAAGCTTCCCTAACATCTGTGTTTGTGGCCATGCTTTTCCCCATTAGCTGTGTAAAAGTCTGAATCGACAGCAAAGACAGCCATACAGACCTATGTATCTGTGTGCATGAGTGTGCGTGGGTGTGCACACAGAGACGTACATCTTGGCTGACTTAAGAAAAAATGATCTGTGTTGTGTCCCACAGACATTTGCTGTTGGCCTTTCAAGAGTATTCACCTCCCTGCCGAAGAGACGGCTTGAGTATGGAAGTTTAAAAACAATCCAGATAGGGGCTCCCTGTTGCCGTTGTTACCTAGGATGGAGGCAGCTTGGTGCATGTGTTACGGTACCGAAAGCAAATGTCACTTTCTGATCTCCACAGGAACCACTCCCTAAAACATGAGAACTCCCAACTAACACTTCCTCCACACAGCACTTTGCCTATGTTCATACGTGTCAACACAACTGGTCTAAGAAAGAAAAGTCCCAATCAGCAAGTCTCCTTTTTTGTCTACACAGTGCCAGAGTCAGTGGGAGGCTTTTTGCCCATTGTTTTTAAATCATAAGCAACAGGTATTAGCAAATGACAAAAGTGACTGCTTTGAGGTTTTGTAGGCAGAGGTCTCTCATTTTTCCCAGATTTTTGCTCCTTAAAAAAAAAAAAAGGCATGGTTTGCATGGAGTTTCAAAGCTAAGAACTGTTCTTACCATGGTTGACCTGTGTACATAATGCACTGTGCATTAAGTAGCCCTTAATCTAGAGAGGGTTAACCATAGCGTTCCTCCCTTTTGCTCTTCTGTACATTATAATGTAGCAGAGCTTCATTCTTGACATCCAGATTTGAGGTGTCTTCTTCATATTAGATATAAATTAACCAGAGGTCTAGAACTCTAACTTTCCAGAGATGTGAAAAAATTTTAATTTACTTCAAAAATATCTTGCATAAGTATTTCATCCCTAAGCTCAAACAAACAACAAGAAAATTAAAGGCAAGAAAGAATACATCAAATTGAGAGCTCCTCCTATAATACATATACACACACTCTCGATATAGGTTCTACACAGTAAAAGAAGTTGTTTCAGCTAATATAGCCACTAATATTGATTTCATCTGAAAATAGCCTTTCTGGGTGTCTTGCCAGCATCATACGAAACAGCAGTACTTCTTCCACCAGGACTTGGAGAGGTTTTTCATTTTATCTGGAGTCCTGCTTTTAGACTTCTTTGGCTGTTGCTGAGTGTCCGAGTATTGAATGCCAGCGACGATGGCTGCATCAAAGACCTCTTTGAGGTTTTTTTGAGTCAAGGCTGAACACTCGATGTAGGAGGCGGCTTTGATTTCCTCAGCGCACAGCTTAGCCGCCTCTTCAGGCACTGGCTTTTCTTTGCATTTGTCCAACTCAATGAGGATTTTGACGTCTTCTCTGAGATCTGACTGCGTTCCAACTAGGATGATGGGGGCTTTGGGACAGTGGCATCGAATCTCCGGCACCCATTTCTCGCTGACATTCTGGAAGGATGAGGGGCTCACGACACTAAAGCAGAGGAGGAAGATGTCCGTGTTGGTATAGCAGAGAGGCCTCAGCTTGTCAAATTCATCCTGCAACCAAGCAAAGTACCCAAAAGTTATTTTTTTTAATGAATTCTCATCAGTAAAAAGATCATCTTCACATTTTTCACGAAAGGGTCCGGCAGGTGATAGAAGACCCACTGGTTCTAGAAGGAAGAGCCAGCATTCTTGAAACGATCCTACTGTTTACCCAAGTGGTTCTAGCGCACCAGCAAAGGTGTGGCAGCCATCTGCTTTCAGGGCCAGCTATAGTCTGAACACTGCCAAATACGTTCACCATGTTCACTGACACTGAAGACCTACTTGCAGCTTAACATAGAAAAAGTGCTCAAAGCATGTGGGTTCTAGAAATAAAATGGACTTAAGCTTTCAGCTGAGTGTAACCCAAACTTACTCTCAATTCTTGGTACTTAGCTACTCTTCCAGGATTCAGACCACACCCTTATTGATCCTCAAGACTCCCACTCAACCCCAGTCTATGAACACAGCTCCTCTCTTTACCAATCCAGCCCTGCCTTTTCCCACAACAGCTCTGAGTGATGCCGATTTCATGCCATCTGCACTGTGCACACGCTCCGTCCACACCATGCACAGCAACGCAGAGTAACGATAATCAGATGCAAGGCCAGACCAGAAATGGAGTTGAGGACCTTTGTCAGTCCACTGTCATCAGTGACTCAGAAAACGTGTGCTTCTCAATACCACATACAGACACTGGTTAATACATCCTCATTCTGGCTGTATCTCCTCTTCCTCCCTCCCTCCTACATTTTCTCCTACTTCCTTTATCCTTGCCAATACCCATGGCCTCCGTGTACAGCGCTTTGGACAGATATGAACTGGAGAATGACCCTACCCTTAAGGTACAGAGAAGTGGATGGGTTAAGTTAGAGTTGAAATAAACCAACGGTTGCGCTGCCAATGCTCTCCCGCAGTCATCCATTTAACAGACACACTGAACATCACCTACACTCAAAGCACAGTGGCAGACGAAGGGATTCGGTTGTGAACAGAGAGATGTTGGTCTCCAAATTACCATTTCTTTATAGAAAACACCCTATAGTTCCCTATAGCACCATATTCAGCTAACTGAAAACTTTCACTCAACTCTTTTGTAGAAAAATATTTACTCTTTCCTATTTAAAATGTATATCTGTTGGTGCCAACCATCCTCAGGTGTAAATAATTTCCCCATGACAAGAAAACGTTCAATGGCACTCATGTTTTTCATTACTCAATTGACACACTCTGATGATTTACCAAGTACTATCTACATCTACATTATTCTCCAACCGTGGCTTTTTTCTCTTGGTATAAAATAAACCTGTAACTTATTTGAATATACTTTCTTCATTTGAGGCTCCATGTTTCAATTACGGGATGACAGCTGACCAACAAATCACATTAAAGTCAACCAGCTAAAATGTTCAACAATCAATATGGCATTTCAGAATGTTACTTGTGAGGCTTCTGTAAGCGAAAGTTGAAAAAGAATGACTTAGCCAAGTGTGGTGGCATGTGCCTATAGTCACAGTTACTTGCGAAGCTGAATCGGGGGATCACTTGAGCCCAGGAGTTTGAGACCAGCCTGGGTGACACAGCAAGACCCCTCCCTCTAAAAAAATTTTTAAAAAGAAAAAGAATGACTGACGTTTCTTCATGCCAACTTTGTGATGAATAAATAAACACAGAAACACAGCCAGGTAGACTATGGCTCCAGTTCCGAAGATCTTTTAATGGAATGCTCCCTTTGTTCTTAGAGGGCCTCAAAGAAAGAAGTATAAAACTGAGACCAGTATTAAGGCAGCCCCCTCAGGTAGCTGCACCCCTGGCCGTGCCCTGGTATCTGGGGTTGCGTTACTGAGAAAAATAAAGGCAAGCACAAGGGCTGGGCCTTCTGAGTGGGCTTTGGAAAGCTATCTCCCCAGATCTCTTGAGATTCTGGCTAAGGGGCTTGAGAAGTAAAACAGAAATTAGACCCTCCTGCTCAGCGCCTGACCAGAAACCTTAGATATCTGATGGAATAATGCAATACACACGTGCAATGAGGACAACTGGAATGCACCTTTAAGAAAAGGCATTCTGAGGCCAAGCAATTTGCACGTGCTTGCCAGGTCTGTGGTACAGACACTGCACAGGAGTCTGATCAGGGTGGGCAGGGCAGAGAGACGAGACTGGATTCTATACCCCTCTGGTCTAGCTGCAACTTGATATTTTTTTTCCAGTATAAGAGTTTTCCAAGTACCTTATGGGTCAAAAGGCTGAAGAATTTTCAGCTTCTATTGGCAATTCTCCAGTGAACTACTCCTATTTCAGCAATACTTTTTTCTCTTCTGCCAAAGGTATGTTTTTTCAAGTCTCCAGTCTGTCTCTGATCAATCTGCCCTTGAGTGAGACTGTAAGCCCAGTGTTAAAAACTCCTTTTGACATCTTATAGACTCACCTACCCTCCCTAAAATGAAAAGCCAAAGGTACAAGAAGTGATTTCTTCAGCCTGTAGAGCCATCCATACTCTGCTCCCATCAACTTCTCTGGGAAACCCACTCTCCAGCTCCACATCCCCAAATTCCAACCTATCTGCACTCACATTGATTCTCCAGGCATCTGAAATGGAGGTCAGTGGAGTCACTTAACCCTCAAGGCTCTCATGTCAACTGCCTAGAAGAGGTACGTGTTCCTTCCTCCGTAAGGAAACATGGCAGGTATCACAGCGAGTCCCCTAAAATGTATTTTATCAGGTCAGGACTAGGGAGAGTAGAAAAGAACTACCATTTTGACCAGCTTGGCTAGTAGTCTAAATAAAGACTAATTTATAAATGGGGGATCAGGAAAACAAAAACAAAACCACAAATACCTGACTTATCTTACCAGCAGTGAATTTTTCATAGTTTTTGAAGTTGGTTTTCTATAAATTTTTCGATGGTGGTCTTATTCATTATTTAATTGGATGTACTCTTCTAACCAGCACACAAAGGTTAAGAAATACAGTAAATCTCATTGAAAATATTGCTGAGGGGCCAGAAGAATAATTTCCAAATAAACTGAAACTGACAAATGTAGTACCAAACCCTTCGTTTTTCCTTAATTATAACTTTTTTGTGTAAAAATACTTCTAAAGTGATGCTTGTGCTTTCCTGATTTTTGCACAGATTATACTAAGGAACAATTTAACTCTTCCTTGATGATTCAGACTCATTTTTGCAAAGTTTTTCTGGTAAAATTCCTATTTGTCTTTCAAAACTCTGCTCAGAGGTTTTCCCGCCAGGCCCAACCAGCCTGCACCTCTGAGCCTGAGCCTCTTTTCTTCCCTTCGCTTGCTCCTTCACAAGCTTCCATAAACTAGTGTGTCTCTCCTCCACACTGTAAGTCTATTAAGGAGCAGGTCCACAACTTAGGTTTGCACCCCCACCACCTGGTCTTGCTCTGGTTCTTCCATTCCAAAACCACGAGATTAAGCCCTGCTATCACTCTGCTGGGCACTGGGCACAAAACCCCAGCTCCAGAAGCTGCATCCTGCTTGAAGAGTCAACACTTATGGGGAGTCCAGTGGACAGTGATATTTGAGTGACATCCTGGGGCAGGTAGGTGCACTGAGCTTCTGCTCCACCCTGTAAGCCTCCCTGCTAAATGTGCCTTTGGACTTCCTGTGTTTTCCTGACTTCCGTCTTATCTTCAGGGTCTGACTTTAGTAGGTCAGATGGCTATGTTTACTGAAATGTCCCTCTGCCCGTGTTTTATTTATTTATTTATTTATTTTTTTTGAGACAGAATCTCACTCGGTCACCCAGGCTGCAGTGCAGTGACGCGATCTTGGCTCACTGCCACCCCCGCCTCCCGGGTTCAAGCAACTCTGCCTCAGCCTCCTGAGTAGCTGGGATTACAGGCACCCGCCACCACACCCAGCTGATTTTTGTATTTTTAGTAGAGACGGGGTTTCACCATCTTGGCCAGGCTGGTCTTGAACTCCTGACCTCGTGATCCACTCGTCTCAGCCTCCCAAAGTGCTGGGATTACAGGCATGAGCCACTGCGACCGGCCACCCGTTTTAAAGCTCAGAAAACCTGACCCGCTGGTAGGCAAAGCATTCTCACTTCATACAAGGAAATGAGTTTGAATTATAACCACCACCATGGCATTCAGAAAGATTTCAGTACTAGAAGTGACGGCATTCTTTGATTTTTCTTTTTTTTTTTTTTTTCCAAGAGACAGGATCTTGCTTGCTCTGTCAGCCAGGCTGGAGTGCAGTGGCACCATCATAGCTCACTACAGTACAGCCTCAAACTCCTGGGTTCAAGCGATCCTCTCACCTCAGCCTCCTGAGTGGCTGGTGGCTGGGACTACAGGCAGTGCCACCACACCAGGCTAATTTTTTTATTTTGTAGAGATGATGTCTTGCTATGCTACCCAGGCTGCTCTCAAATTCCTGGCCTCACGCAATCCTCCCACCTCAGCCTCCCAAAGGGCATGAGCCACCACACCCAGCCTGATTTTTGTTTTCTACAGACGATAGAATACAGACAGTGCTTGGTTTTTCCAAGCTGACGTACTCCCAAGCTATGGCCTCCACCAGCCTGGTGTTCCTTGGAGATCAAGGCTCCCCGGTCTTATATCATCTTGAGGTTTAAAAAATAAGATCTGTCCTCAGCTCTGAATCTGCTGTCCCAGAGTAGGTGAGCAACTTGGAAGCTCTGGCTTAGATGAGGCTCTGTGGGGCGGTGGCAAGCCAATGCCTTCATAAACATAGATAGTCATGCCATGGCACCTCAGAAAGTGAAGGGGCACTTTCATCTGCCTACAAAGTACCCCCGGAACTTTGCTGAACTCTAGAACACACTAGAGAGACAAGCTCATTAACTATCACTTTGCCAAAATCAAGTACCCCTGGGTGTTCACAAGGCACAGCCTGACTTCAATGACTTGACTACCCACCAAGGGGTGTGGGGGTTCTTCTGGGGAACACAGTGAGGGAATCCTATACTCCCTGGCTATTTTCTTCAAGTGCCCAGCCCTTGAGACAAAGCATTCACAATTTTTTAGAATAAGCCCAGTTAGTTCATCCCTCCAGCTTAGGACTGCTCTGACAAATGTATCTGTGCTTCAAGGGATGGGGCTGGTCCTAGCGAGTCAAACCATAGCTCAGGAAGGGAACTATTAACTCTTACTGATGTAATTCCATCTTTTTCTTGAACAAATTTCTTAAATATCTGACTCACTGGCCTTTAATAAAACGATTATAAGATATCACTAACTTAGTTTGGGAAATGACGACAAAGCATCACTGAAACTTTTTCATAAAAACCAGGGAGTAAATAATAGAAACTCCTATAAGATAAGAGCTGTTCTTGACCGTGCTTCCTCCCTTGCCTGGCTATGCAGAGCTGGGCCAAATCCTGCTTTATTAGTTTGGAGGTATCTTCCTCTGCTTCCTGCCCGCCAACCCCTGGCCCCTGCCCACCCTCAGAGAGGGGCCAACAGCAGGGGTGGGTCCACTTCATGAGGCTTTCGAATGACCTAGTTACTGACTGGGGGAATCAAAGGTTATTTGGAAATCTTTAAAAGGCTGTTTCCTTTCCCAGCACTGAGCTGTAACATGATACTGACCTGTCCGGCAGTGTCACAGAGTTGGAGTCTCACGGGCCGCCCATCCACAGACACCACCGCTAAAAACAAAACCAAAATGGCAATCAGGAGGTGTCTTTTAACTCCTTTTGGAATACTAATAGTTTTAGCTTTCACCATCATTCTCACTCCAAACACCTCTGCTCCCATTCTAGGTCCTCTAATGAATTAAGGACTAGCCTAAAACAAGGAGGCCCTGTGGAGGCATTTTTGTATACAAACCCAGCGCTGGCAAGTCACTCCACGAACCAGGCAGCAAATCCCTGAACCCTTTGATGGTGCCCCCAGAAAGGCCTATGCTTTTCTCTCAGTCCTGGAAGATTTATTTTCCTGTCACACTTGTTTCAAAGGACCTAAAAACAACACTGGGGGTAAATGGGAAGTAACCCTGCAGTTTTAAATCAGTGGAAAACCTCACAAATGATTCTGTTTTCCCTTGGGAAAGGTTCCCCAACTTCAGGGTTTATCATAAAATTCCAGTTTGTTTTGAGAACATGTGCAAACACAGGCTGCCCGCATTGTGCTGTTTAAAAGTGAGGGCACTCTTTATCTCTATGTCAGGCCAAAAGGAGGATTAAAAAAGAAAAGAGAAAGCCATGCCCACCTTTCCACTGGGATTTGGGGACTCAGGGAGTGTGGAGAGGCCTGCAGCAGGACATGTCGCGGAGGTTTCTATTTTAACTAAGCAGTCAATTTTGTCTCTTTCTACACAACTTTCTAATTGTCTCTCAATGTTTATACTAGTCAGCAGCAGGGGTGGGGTGGGGTGGGGGAGGGGAAGACACAATCCTCTGCGGTGGGAACCCACCAGTACAGCACCCATTTTTCTAGGGTGCCTTTGGGATGAAAGGAAGGTCAGAGAAGCAACCTTTTCTCTTAAGAAGCGAAACAGTTAAATGTTTCACACTAGCTTCTGTGAATTTCAACTTTTTCTTAAATTTCAAAAAGACCTGAATATCGAGATAGAGAATTCCTTTATCTTTGTATCTACCAAGGCAAATGACATCGCACCCGGTACATAAGAGCTTTAAGTAGCTTAAAGGGATCCTGAAAGGATACCAACAATCAGAATCTGAGCCCATGTGGGCAGGGAAGGTGGTGGGGCTCAGAAGAGAGAAATGGTGTTTACTTTCCAGGTTTCATCCAAACCTAAGCCTTCACGAGGGCCGCTCGCGCTATTTTCACTAAATCAAGTGTTTTCCCGGCGTCTCCGCGGCACGCCCCTTGAGAGCTAAGCCGCCTAAAAGCAAAGGAGCGAGGCTCAGGTAAAGGCACCTGCGCGTCACCTTCTGATTGAAACTGCAGCGGCGCCAGCGACGTCGCCCTCAGGAAACTTTGCTCTACGCAGCAAACTGACCCGGCAGCCAGAACTCAACCTGTTTCACTCCTGCTTATCTGTTGCTTAAATTGTGAGAATTGTGAGATTTTTTTTTTTTTTTTTGGCAACGGCTCTGACTGCCGCTCAGCCCTCCTCTCTCCAAGCTCTGGTTGTAGGGCTCCCCATTCCCCCGTGGTCCTTTCCTGTTAGCTCCATGCTTGCCCAGTCCCTGACACTTAGGAAACGTCCTACTCGCCTCATTTGTCCGGCTTCCCCGCTGGAGCCGCGCCCGGGGCCCTGCAGCCCCCTTGGGGCGACCCTCGCGCCACCCTCCTTCCCCTGGACGGACCGCGGTCACGCGCCCCCGGCCCCGGCCCCCTGGCCCGCTCACCGGAGAAGTTGTCGAAGGCAGTGGGGATGTACTCGGTGGGGTAGCCGTTGGTGGTGTAGCTCACCACCAGGCTCGTTTTGCCCACCGCACCGTCGCCGACCAGCACGCACTTGACGCCGCGCCCCTCGGCACCCCCCGCGCGCCCTCGGCCCCCCGGCTCCCCAGGCCCGCGCCCCCCGCGTCCCCCGCGCTCCCGACGCGGCGGCACCGGAGGCGCCTCGCAGCGGTCGGGGAACGCGGGGTCCCCCTGCTGCGGGGGCATCGATCCGCGAGCGCGGGCTTGCGGGCTTGCGGGCGCGGGCGAGCAGGGCCGGGCCCGACCGCCCCTTCGCCCCGGAGGGTGGCGGTAGGGAGGAGCTGTCACCGACAGCTGCGGGCGCGTCCCCGGCCCCGGAGAGTGGCGGTTCCCGGCTGCACGGCTAGCAGACAAAGGCGTCCGGGGAGGGTCGTGGCTCCGCGCTCCGGCAGCGCCAGCCGCTCTGCCCCACGCGATTGGAGGACAGCGGTCCGAGCGCCGTGGATCCCAAGCGCTCTGTCTCCGCCCGGCTTCCCGGCGACACGACGCGTGGGGGGCGGGCGGGCGGGGAGGGAAAAGAGGCGGGTCCGGCCGGGCGGCTCGGTCCCAGCGCCAAGGCCACAGCGCCCCCCGCCTGCGCGCCGCGCGCCTGCACCCGCGCCCGAGGCGGCGCCGCGACCCGGCAGGCGGGGACTGCGAACACGGGCGCGGGAGGACCCGGAACAGACGCTCAGGAGGACGCCTCGCACCCGGTCCGGGGAGCGGCGCCCGAAGGAGCCGGGCCAGCCTCGACAGCCTCCTCCCCAGCTCCCGAGAGGGTGACCACCGCGCGACTGGCCAGGGCGGTTCCGCTTTCTGGCGCCCACACGAGCCGGGAAGCCCGAGCCGCCTCCTATTCCTCTCCGTGGAGCCCCCGGCCGGCAAGGGCTCCACCCAGGGGGGAAGATGAAGTGTCCTGGAGGCCTGTCCTGCGAATGAGATTGAATTAACAGACAGCCTTTTTCCTTAAGTCTTAATTGCAGCTGATCGTGTGATTTTTCTCACTTTGAAGCAAAAGGATGCCAACTACATTGTGAATGCTCCTTTTACTTTCTCTTTCGGCATGCCGTGAACCTTTATACTTGTATGCTCCGGCAATTTTTTTATAGCCCCAATTCCTTCATTTACTTAAAGATAATTCGGAGACAAAGTATTCCGTTTCCCTTTGATTCCTTTCTCTCTCTGCCTTCCTTCTACATATGGTCAACAGTCCATTCAGAAAAAGGACTGCTCTTCTGAGCCAAATCAGAATACAAACAGTCCTGGGGGTGTACAGTGTGCTGTGAGAAGAGCCACATATTATTAATACACATATTGATGCTAGTGGTAGTAAAAATAACAATAATAAATACTGAGCTTTCATAATGTGTCAGATACTGTTATAAGCACTCTTCATGAACTAATTATTTTAATCTTAACATTACTTACAGCCATTTTACAGATGAGAACACCTGAGGCACAGAGATATTAAGTAACGTTTTGGGATTTCACAAGCTAGTAAGTGGCAGTGCGAGGATCCAAACCCAAACAGTCTAGCCCCAGAACCTGAGCTTCTAACTAAAATCCTGGAGGCAAAAATAAGAGTGTATGATAAACATAGTCTTGAACGTATAGCCATTGTCAGAATGCAGGTGATGGATTTATCAAGAAGTTAGAAGCTTGAAACCAGGACTCCTGACTTGCAAAAGACACTTTTACATTGCTGGGAGATCTAGCAATGTGCACACATGGTAATATGTTTCTGCAAATTTTGAAAAACAAAAGTATTTTAATCACCACCAGTTAAGTTTACCGTCTTTTTTAACTCTAACTTATCCTTATATTGAGTGATTTTGAAGAAGCCAGGTTGTTTGGTGTAATGGGATACAGAATCAGGATGAAGGTGAGATAAGGGGGATGTCAAGGATGCAAAATTTATGACAAATTGAGCATTCAGAGGCAATATCAAAAAATAAAAAAATTAGAGGGCCCTTACTCTTAGGGTCAGGCAAGTGCCAATGTTAAGTTTTGAGCCTCAGTTACCTGGCTTGCCTCTCCCTAGCCCTGGCCATGATGACAGGATATATTTGTGTGGTTTACAGTTCTCCTATGTAGATGTGTTGTTGCTAGCCATCCAGGTATAGGAATGGCTACCACTGACATACCTATGACCCTCTGTGAGAGTCACATTGGTGTCCTCAACTATCTTACTTTCCCCAACACTAGAACGGTTCCAGTAGCAAAAGAGTAGCAGAGCTTGAGATGGGCAGAGCTGGAAGCTAGTCTAGCAATTCTTTCCATCATAAAACACCTAATATCGGCTGGTGCGGTGGCTCATGCCTGTAATCCCAACACTTTGGGAGCCTGAAGCAGTCAGAGCGGATGAGGCCACGAGTTTGAGACGAGCCTGGCCAACATGGCGAAACCCTGTCTCTACCAAAAATAAAAAAATTAGCCGGGTGTGGTGGCTCACACCTGTAATCCAGATACTCCAGAGGCTGAGGTGGGAGGATCACTTGAGCCTGGGAAGTCGAGGCTCCAGTGAGCCCTTGATCAGCCCAGCCACTGTACTCCAGCCTGTGCTAGAGTGAGACACTGTCTCAAAACGAAACAAATAGAAAAAAACACAATATTGTTAGAGAAGGTTTGACTCTCTCTACTATACCTGATCAAAACGGAAGTTCTCTCTTGTCAGAAAGGTACCTGTACTCTAAATGCAGCAGATACCGTTATAAATGCACCATACATCTTTGAAGAAAAATCACATGAAATGAATGATCTGAATTCCCACATTTGTAAGAACACGAGGCTGTAATAGTACAACAAAAAGCAAGTTCACCTGTGTGTGAAGTAACTTCCTATTGTTCCTATAGAAAATATCTTACAAAACTGAATAAGTCATCAAAGCGTATGTAACTGAAACATGTAAATAGTGTCATAGAAGTGTGTCAAGTAGTTTATTAAAATATGTCTTATGTATTTTGTTGAAGTTTATGGTGTTTGTTAGCCTTTTAAAATTTGTAACTTATTGTGATGCATTTCTCACTTTAAACATTTGTTTTTGTATATAATTTTCTATTCTTAATTTTGTATTTTTTTTTTCTTAATGAAGTCTCACAAATGTGATAAGTCTCAGACCCTACAAAACTTGGCTTTGCCCCTCCATGTGGCCAGCTGTCAGTTTTTGTGTCCTGTGCCTCCCTCTCTTGCTTTTCCCCCGTCTCATGCTGAATATCATCCCATGCCCACTCATCTGGGCCCATTTTTCTGGACACAACTTAATCAGCTCCCTGCATCCTTATCTAAAATGCCAGAAACTATTGTTTGCCCTATTCATGAGACTGTTCTGTAGACAACATAGGAAATCAGACCCCACGCCAAACAGTTCGGTATTTCATCCAAGTCCAAGAGCAGAAAGATGACAGAATGCCTACCACCGTCGGGGGCTACAAGAAGCCCTTCGAGGTGTGTGGGCTCAAGTTGTATGATATATTTGTTTGTTTATTTGCTTATTGTCTGTCTCCTCTTACAAGCTCCATGAAATAAGAAACTTTATGTTGCTCATTCCTGTATCCCACACTTAGAAGCACGTGGGGCAAGTAGTAGGTGCTTAATAAATACTTAAGCAATGGTAAATATGTAAGTGAAAGTAAAACATGTTTTGAACTTGACAGTTCTGTAAAAAAAAAAAAAAAGAAAAGAAGAAGAATGTAAAACATGGACTCTCAAAACATGGACAGTTGTATTTTTATGCTTTCATAAAATATTTTTAGAAAGAATGAAGGAAATTTGACCATTTCTTGCAGCTATTAATATAAAACCATGTCTTTGCTCAGTTTCAAGACAAAAAAATGCATTACACCTCATGTATTCCCTTTTGATTTTTCACCAAGGCGGTACAATGCCTTCCTTCATTGTGCCGTGGGCCTAGAAAATTCTGAAAACTGGGTGCAGATTTTCCGTTCTTAAGATCTGGTCTCTCTGAGGCCCTCCAGCCCAGCTGTGAGCATTCATCCCCCTACCTACCCCCAACACTTCATCCAGGACTTCCAGCAACCCAGCCCTGGGCCCCCAACAATACATCAGAGAAGGTGTCCTCCTCGAACTACAGGTCCGTAACCCCTTTCTCCTCCCGTGAACTTGCTCTTTCTCTGCTTAGGTGTCACCTCCTCCAAGAATGTTTATTTTTGTGCCTAATTTTCTATACTTAATTTTGTGTTATTTTTCTTAATGAAGTCCTCAAAATGTGGTAAGCTTCAGGCCCTACAAAACTTGGTTTTGCTTCTCCATCTGGCCATCTGTCCGTTTTTGTGTTCCATAGCCTCACCCTCTTGCTTTACCCCTTTTTATGTTGAACTGCCCCACACCCACTCATTTGGGCCCATCTTTCTGGGCTCGACTTAATCAGCCCCCGACAGCCTTATCTAAAATGCTTGGAACTAACGCTTGCCATATTCATAAGAATCTTCTACAGGCAACGTAGGAAAGCAGGCTCCCACACCAAATAGATTGGTGTTTCATCCAAGTCCAGAAATGTTCCCTGACCCCTTATGTGCATATATTTGTGCTTGTCTCTATCACAGCCCTTATCTAGTGAAATCCTCTACTGATTATACAGCACCTACCCTTGCTCATAATCCCCTAAAAGGGGGGATCCCCAGTTCACAAAACTCTTCCCCCCAGCACAGTATTAATCTGTTTTCTAGGATTTTTTCCATCAAGTTATTTTAACTGTTCCACTAGCAAATAATTAATAGTGAATTTGTAGTTTTTTACTAAAATGGTAAAAAAAAAAAAAAAAAAAGGCCTAATAGACTTTCCACTGTGTACCTGTCACTGTTGTATCTTTTGATATATTTAAGAAATAAATAAATTTGTATCTGCTCAACATATTCCTTGCCAGGTGTCATTGTCATCATCATATTAAATATAAAGTTGTTTCTCCTGCTATTGATAACATTTCACCGTTTACTGAGTACCAAATCAGAACAGCACGGTTTTTTTGGATCTTTCATTTTAGCATGTCATATAACTCTGTGTGTTCATTCACTCTTTAAATGGTAACCCTTTGCCTTGGACACATTAATCTAATTTCTTTCCTTCAGCAGTGCCCTAGTTTTTTTAATACCCTGTAAGAGGACATCAGAAGAATAATTCTCTAAAACTGGAGATTCTAAGCTGGGTTGTCTATTGCTAACATGGCTGTCTGCTCCCAGAATTCCCTTCTTTGT